CCACACAGCTGACTTTGGATTCATCCAGTGACTGGTGCCACTTAGTGGAGAGGTTTAACAGATCAGCAGCAGAGTAACCTTTCCTGAAGCCATATTGACGATCACAAAGTAGTGAGCAAGAGTCAAAAAAAACTGTCATTTGTCTTGAGATTATTGTCTCAGGGACCTTACCAGTGATTGACAGGAGTGACACTGGTCTGTAGTTGCTGATTTCTGCTCTGCTCTTCGTTTTGTGAACAGGGACTACATTTGCCTCTTTCCATAGAGAGGGCCATTTACACTGTACTAGGCAGTGCTGAAAGATGCGAGTTAGAGATGCTGCTAGCTGGTCTGCACATCTTCTCAGCAATCTTGGGCTCAACTTGTCTGGGCCCACAGCCTTTTCTTGGTCAAGTGATTTAAGAAGGAAATGCACCTCCTCCTGCCTTATTGTCACCACTGACAGTTTTGACACAGTTCTTGCAGCTAGCCAAGGAGGGTCCCTTGCTGGATCAGGAACTTGCATTTTGGTAGCAAAGTGTTCAGCAAAGAGGTCCGCCTTCTCTTGACTGCTAGTAGAGGTGGTCCCATCCTGTCGATTTAGAGGTGGAATGAGTTCATCAGGCAGATAACCTTGTCTGTCCTTGACCAGGGACCACCAGGTTTTGGAGCCTACCCTACCTGATGCTAGCTTTCTTTTAGTGTCCACCTCCCATTTAGCAATGGCCCACTTTTGAACATCGCCCATATGCCTACAGGCTTGCCTGTGCAAGTTCCTGTTATAGGTGGTAGGATGTCTCTTATACCTTCGCCATGCTTTGTTCTTAGCAGTAGCAGCCTCTCTGCAACGAAAGCCAAACCAAGGCTGATCTGTAGGCTTTGTCACATATTGCTGGTGAGGAATGTGTTCTTGTTGTAGATTAAGGAAGTGTCCAGTGAAGGCTTTCACTTGGTTGTCAACATCCCCTTGGAGAAGAGCATTCCAATCGGTGGTGGCGAGCTCAGAGCGAAGGGCTGGCCAATTACCTCTTTCCCATAGCCAGGTTGTGCATGTGGACTCCTCACCTCGTTCTGTTGGGATCTTAAGTGTCGTAAAAACAGCCTTGTGATCAGACGATCCAACATAACCGAGGGGTTGACAAGTGACTATGCCTTCTGCCAGATCACTCACTACTGGGTCAAGGGAGGAGCCAGAGATGTGAGTAGGCAAATCAACAAAGTTTCTCATGTCAAACACTGCAAGAAGGTCATCAAAGTCCCTCTGTATAAGGTGCTGGTTGAGGTCACCAACAATTATGATATGTTGACAGTTGTGTTGTAGCAGAAGGGAGTCAATATTTTCTATTAGGAAGTTGATGGGATATGCATGTTGCCACTGAGGTCTGTACATTGCACATGCTAGTACAGAGGTACTAGTGTTTATGCAGAGCTTGAAGAACATCATTTCAAGATGTGTAGGGGTGGCAACATCAATGTGCTGGGCATGAACACTTTTAGAGCGGCACACAGCAACACCACCTCCTTGCCCTTGCCTGTCTCTTCTCATCCATGAGGTGTAGCCAGCAATTCTTGCAAAATTTTCTGGAGTCCTGTTATCCAAAAATGTTTCAACAACAGCTGTCATGTCAGGACGTTGAGTGTTCACAAAACTGTGTGAGAGCTCTCCAACATTAGTAATGAAACCTCTAATGTTGGCCGACAGGATGCTGATAGACTGGCTCCTCATGATGATGTGGTCAGCTTGAGGTGGTGGGTGTGTAGGACATGTAAGGTGTCTGCCCTTGAGAGAGGTAGGGTACTGAGGCTGTCTCCCATCAAGGTAGGGTGACCTAAAAGGCCCTGGCATTTTAGTCTCTTCTTACAACACATATGGCTTACAGAGGAAGAATTCTTCTCCACTTCCCCATGGAGTACTTTCCTATATAGCAACATTAAACTAAAGAATAAAGAGCACTGCAGTAATCCTACTTTCCCATGCTAGGCAGGTTCAACTCTCCCACCCATTCCACTAAGTGATTGACAAACCATTACTTTCTTATACAGTGCCTGCAAAAGTAATACTTGGTACTTTAATACAGTGGACCCTCGGTTATTGGCCTTTCCTGTTATCGGCCAACTCGGTGATCGGCCGTTTTGGATGCATCCATCTGCCGGCTGGGGCTGCTTGTGCGTCAGTTTATTTTCCATTGTTTTTTGTTTTTTGTTTTTTTGCAGTGCAACTGCGAAATAAGTAGCCATGCCTCTAAACAAAGTTCCTAGTAAAGTTCCTGTGGTAAAGAAAGTGAAAAACACCATGAAATTTAAGCTTGAAGTGTAGCAGGCATGCAGAGAGTGTAGCAGGCATGCAGGAAGTGTAGCAGGCATGCAGAGAGTGTAGCACGCATGCAGGAAGTAGCAGGCATGCAGAGAGTGTAGCAGGCATGCAGAGAGTGTAGCAGGCATGCAGAGAGTGTAGCAGGCATGCAGGAAGTGTACCAGGCATGCAGAGAGTGTAGCAGGCATGCACAGAGTGTAGCAGGCATGCATAGAGTGTAGCAGGCATGCAGAGAGTGTAGCACGCATGCAGGAAGTGTAACAGGTATGCAGGGAATGAAACAGGCATGCAAGTAGTGTAACAGGTATGCAGGGAGTGTAACAGGCATGCAGGAAGTGTAACAGGTATGCAGGGAATGAAACAGGCATGCCAGTAGTGTAACAGGTATGCAGGGAATGAAACAGGCATGCAAGTAGTGTAACAGGTATGCGGGGAGTGTAGCAGGCATGCAGGGAGTGTAACAGGCATGCAGGAAGTGTAGCAGGCATGCAGGAAGTGTAGCAGGCATTCCAAAAGCCAGCATTAGTCTTCAATAAAGGTATGTAATACTGATTTAATTGTTAAAAAAAATTATTTTTGGTGAATATTTTTGTCTGGAACGGATTAATTGTGATTACATTAATTCTTATGGGAAATATTATTTCGTTTTTCAGCCATTTCAGTTTTAGAGTCCACTGTATTTTGTTGTGTATCCTATTTGGGCATGCTTTCACTCAGATTCCTGTAGTAATCAATGGATATCTAGTGAGCCCAAATGCCCTTTATCTCCTGCTGCAGGCATGACATGGATGAAATTTGACAGGATTCCATCTTTTTTTTCATGATACTCCAGGCTCTCAAAAACAACCCAATTATTGCTCCTTTTTTGGTCTTAGTGCTGTGACAGGAATAGTAATGCTGGAGATCATCATTGTTAATTGGCTGTCAAAAATTCTTGAAAACTGGGGCATCATTGGTTTTGTACAGCAAGATTTCAAGGTACAGGAGTAACTTCTAATATAAACTTGATGGATGGTTTTATGTTGTTGATCTTGGTAAGTAGATTGTGAGTGTTAAACCTCCTAAAATAGATGACCAGTATATTGTTTATTCACCATTACCACATCACATTACTGGAGGTTGGTGGACCCTAAATGGTCAGCTTGAAAGTACAGTATTCTTGTAAATATTTGCCAGTATAGATCTGATGGGTGAGCTCATGACCCTCCTAGAACATTGCCCATAGCTCGCATCCTTGAATTTGAATTACAGTAGTTGAAAGTAACATTCAAGTGCTAGGTCCATGAAGTCCTGGTGGGAAGTAGGGATATCTGTATTGTCACTGATTTTTCTGTTATAGCACGGTAATCGCACACGATTCACAAAATTGCAAAACACAATTGCAAACAAATCACAGAATGGGTAAGATTTTGAATCCATGGCAAGTGAGTCGTAAAAGTCCAGGCCAGTGAGTAAGTCCAGTGGCTACAGTAAGATTCATCCAGCTAGGTGTATTTCTATACACCATAGGGCCCCACTGTGACCACACATGCAAGTTTTACAGATTAGTCTCCCCCAGTGTGGTTGTGATGAGCTATAGCTAAAGTCCCCTTAAAGTCACCATTGTGACACAGGAAATCGTAGTAACATGATTACAAACAAACTGTGGTTTGTTTGCAATCATGTTACAGAGAGGTGTCAAAACTTTCCAAGTTTTTTATTTTTGACATTGATGTCCTGTGTACATGAGATGAGGTCTGAGTGTTTTAAGTGGGCCTGATTTACAGTACCCAGTAATTTAAAGAATTGCAAAGTGAGTTAGCTAGTGAACCCCTGTGGAGCACTCCCAGTGTCTGAGGTGGCGGGTCTAAGTTGAATATCAGGTGTACGGATTTTGAGAAGCCCATATAATCTGACAAGCTTCTGATTACCAGGGGATTCCTAGGGAGATGGTATAGTAGTTTCTTGCCCTGATCTGTCTTATGAGGATGTATCGAGCTGGAAGGAGGTAGAGGGGTAGTACTCAAGTTCCAGTTCTTCTTTCTTTCTACACACCGGCCGTATCCCACCGAGGCAGGGTGGCCCAAAAAGAAAAACATTTTTTTTTTAAATTTAGTAATTTATACAGGAGAAGGGGTTACTAGCCCCTTGCTCCTGACATTATTATTATATTATATATTATATATTATTATATTATTATAATAATACACTAGTTTGCATAACAGTAAATCTTCTATTTTTTGAGAATAAAAATTCAAAATGGAAAGCAAGGGTAATATAAGAGGGGCCTGGAGGTGTGACTAATGAACAGAGAAAATGTTATTTTAGTGCCAGGAATATCTGCCTTGTTTATTCTGGACCTTATTTTGAAATTTGCGTGAAATTGGCCAAATTGCCAATTTCTGACCACTTTATTGGGTAGTTGAAATCGGTAAATGGGCAGTTTCTTGTACTCAGTCGATAGAACAAATGGAGTTCTAGCGAAATTGCTATGATTTGAGTTGACTGAAACAAGAGAATTGGCCAAAAATAGGGCTCAAAGTGGGCTAAATCGTTGATGCGTAAATATCGCCAAAAGCGTTAACTTTGCAAGAGTGTAATTTCGTAAGTTTTCCATCAAATTTCATACTTTTGGTGTCATTATCATCAGGAAGAGATTCTCTTTCATTTCATAAAAGTGAGTTGAGGATCAGGAGTCTTGACACTGAAAGGGTTAAAGTGTAAGTATTGTGCTTACCACCTCCACAGCTCCAGCTGTTTTTCCTTTATCTTCATAGATACTACCATGTTTACCCTCCTACACAATATTAAATCCCAATGACTACTTTCTTTCACTTTATTCTAACATGCCCACATATTCCTCTTCCATCTTCCTGCCAGCTCTTTCTTTAATTGAGGTCACCTACACCTTCAGTATTTCTGTCCACCCCAGATTTATACATATTACTCTGCTATGTTATTGAATACTGTATTTATCCTCTTCTTAAATCTAAAACTTTGCTATTTCTTTTGTTTCCCAGTTTTAGACATTTTTTAACTGGTTTGATCTGGATTGATCAGACAAGGTGTCACCTGTCACTGGGAAGCTACCAGTAGATGCCTGGTTATGTGAGCTGGGATAAAGGCACAAGTGGCCTGGATTGACATCTGGTTGAGAGATAAGGTCAATATGATGTGTGGGTTTTGAGGAGATTACATTGATCCTTGCTGAGGTGGAATATTCAAGAGCTATTGTGATAGGTCTAGAGTGGAAACTTGGTAACAACAAGTCTGAAGTCTTTACAAGTGGTGCGAGCATGCAGTTCAACCTATCTGGCTGATTCATTCATTTGCAATTGTTCCGAGTTTGACTCGATGGCTGTGATTGTCATCTTTGCAAAATGTTTGTGGTGTGATCACAGCTCATGGTCAGGTCACTCAGTAACTCACCTCACTCGGGCTGATAAAAACTCCCTTTTGTTGTTCTTAAGTGTTTGTTCTTGCATAGTGCCCCTGTCCCTCTTTGTTAGAGGTGTAAGCATGTCCCTGTAATTGGTGATTTGTTTTGAAATAATGACATGAAAGAAAAAAGTGTACCTATTCATTCCCTTCCCCCATCTGTAGTATTACCCTCACGTGCATGCTCTTTGAAACAATATGGGTTCAAACTCAATCAGTTGAATTGACTCTGATGTAACAAGGGGCCCTGGCTGCCTTGCCCAATCCAAGTGGTGGCAATGACTCAGTGTAAGGTGAGATGGCTTGTGTGACCATATGATGTGCAGTGACAGTGCTTGATGCCTAGGCTTACAGGTGATTGACAGTAAGCATAATATGGAATTACTAAATGGAAACAATGTATTGTAAGAGTAGGCCACTGTAACAAATATTCAGAGGATTGTTAGTCTGTAACTGCAGTACTAACCTCACACTACCTCTTTTGATCCCTGACTAAATTATTTTCACAGTTCCTCTTTTACTCTGAATTAATTTTTGTACCATCACTCAGTCTTCTAGTTTTTCTAATTCTTTATTCTTTCATAATATTTACTCCATACTTCGACCTCAGGTGTTACTACTGGCTCCAGCCTTCTTTGTTATAACGTACTAAGACCATACCTTATACCCTTACAAAAACATCACCATAGTTATACTTTGACACATGCCCCTTATTGTATTTAATGACAGACCTTTCCATACATTCTTTCATGTATTTGAGCAAGGAAGAAAGTTAAATTTACTATTGTGCCAGAGGTAAATAATGACTCTGAAGTGTAATATTATTTTATCAGGTTGCTCAGAGAAACTACATCATCTTAAGTCAAGAGAAGGAAATCCACAACCTGTCTGGGGCCTTGAAGTTGTTCTTTCGTGAGCTCAAGGAACCTTTGATTCCCTTTGACAATTACCAGGACTTCATCCAAGCTACAGGCTCTGGTGAGTGGCTCACACTACATTGTTCTGTTCAAAAACTTGTGTTAGTCCATAAACTTGTTCTTTGCTTCTGCCACCAGTGAAGGCAATACCTAATGTGAACAATAACATGTATAACAGTAAATTTCTCATAACAAGTGGGTTACTTTCCCAGAAGAGGGGCAGTTATGAAAAATGAAGAACATACGGGGAAAGTAGGGTTTTGTTCCAAGCACCTCCATATTTTCCAATAACTTTTTACTACTGTACTTTGTAAAAATTACTATGGGATAACTTGCCTAACATTCTGTTACTATTTACATGAAGCTTTTGATGATTACATGAATCTGTTTGGTCATGTCAAATGTAGCCAAGGTTGACAGATGAAATGCTCTGTACATGTGAATATCACCATAATAAACCAACATTGTACCAGTCATATTTACCAAAGGTAAAGGCATTTTGAAACTGTCAAAGAAAAAATACGGATGTGAAAATGATGGAGGCAGCATCGGCTGGGTCGCTCAGTATGTGTCAACTTCATGAAGACAAAAGCCACATTTCCTTATCAAATTATACCAAACAAATAGGAACAAAAATGCACTGTACCAAAGATAAATGCACTTGATAAATTCAAATCCTTATCAGAAGACAAGGTCTTAAATCGCTTGACCAAGAAAAGGCTGTGGGCCCAGACAAGTTGTGCCCAAGATTGCTGAGAAAATGTGCAGACCAGCTAGCAGCACCTCTAACTCGCATCTTTCAGCACTGCCTAGTACAGTGTAAATGGCCCTCTCTGTGGAAAGAGGCATATGTAGTCCCTGTTCACAAAAAGAAGAGCAGAGCAGAAATCAGCAACTACAGACCAGTGTCACTCCTGTCAATCACTGGTAAGATCCTTGAGACAATAATCTCAAGACAAATGACAGAGTTTTTTGACTACCACTCACTACTTTGTGACTGTCAATATGGCTTCAGGAAAGGTTACTCTGCTGCTGATCTGTTGTTAAACCTCTCCACTAAGTGGCACCAGTCACTGGATGAATCCAAAGTCAGCTGTGTGGTAGCACTGGAAATTGCTGGTGCTTTCGACCAGGTGTGGCACCAGGGCCTCTTAGCAAAACTTCAAGCACTGGGAATTGCAGGCTCTACGCTATGTCTCCTCAGTGATTACCTTCATGGTAGATCTCTAAGTGTAGTTCTCAATGGAACGGAATCAGCAAGACATCCTAATGGGGCAAGTGTTCCACAAGGAAGCGTCCTGGGACCATTGTTATGGAATGTCTACTTCAACGACCTTCATCATCTCATTCCAGAATCCCATGCATATGCAGACGACTGTACACTGACATTCACTTATCCAAGAGAAGAAATGCCAGCTGCTCTAAGCTACATCAGTCACCAGCTAAGAGCTATATCAGCTCGGGGAAATAGATGGCAAGTAACATTTTCACCTGAGAAAACGCAAATGATGATCGTCTCTAGGCACCATGATGGTAATGCTGGTGCAGTAGTAAGGATGAATGGGAGGGTGTTGGCACCTGGAGAAGAAGTTGATATCCTTGGGGTGAAATTTGACTCCAAACTAACCATGAAGAACTATGTTGTAAATCTTGCAAACAAGGCAGCCAGGAAGCTTACAGCACTTCACCGTATCTCGCATCTGCTTGACAGTAGGAGTTGCAAGATTCTGTACGAGGCACAAGTATGCTCACACCTTGAGTATGCTCCACTTTCTTGGTTTGCCTGCCCCCCGTCTCATCTGCGACTGCTTGACAGAGTAGAGAACAGAGCAAGACGTCTCATCTCTCACCTGGACCCATCCTGGATAGATCTGTCATTTCAGCAGAGCCTTCAACACAGGAGGGATGTGGGTGGCTTTACTGTTAGGTACAAGGCCAATATTGTCAAAGTACCACACTTGGATCCACTTCGAGGACAGCGTGAAACAAGCTTTTATGCCACAAGACGGGCAGAAAGCAGTAACTTCACTCTGGCTGTACCCTTCTCCAGAACATCACTCCATCCGAGATCATATATACCCAGGATGACTCTAGTATGGAACACATTCGTACAGCATAATGATGTCAACGAGATAAAGTCAGTTGATCAAATGAAAACGCTGGCCCACAGGTGGCTCCAACTTCATCCTGTTCCCTACTTGTATGTCTCATAACAATAAAAATGCTTTCAAATGAGCTGATGTAGGTAACAGCTCTTAGCTTGCCAATAAAGTTAGGAATCCTTAACCTGTAAATAGCTTGTCAATAGAGCTAGGGATCCTTAACCTTGTCAAACCCTGTGTAAAAAAAAAAAATTAGAAAGGAAATATTACAGGAATAAAAGCTATTAAGAAACAAAGGATATTGCAAGAAACCCAAAATATTTCTATTCCTACTCAAAATCCAAGCTACGAACTACCTGTAGAATTGGACCACTACTGAGAGGAGACTCGTATACTGAAGATGAACAGGAAATTCATGAGATCCTAAAAGAACAGTATGAGTCGGTGTTCAGCAACCCACTAAATGACAGCAAGGTAGAAAATGCAGAAATATTTTTCACTCCAGAAGAAGGCCGCACAGACCAACTAACTGACATTAGTAAAAATTCCATAGATTTCGAAAGAGAAATGGAAAACATGCCCACTCACTCACCACCTGGACCAGATTCATGGAATGCTCTATTTATAAAGAAGTGCAAAGTACCACTAGCACGAGCTCTCGGTATTCTTTAGAGAAAGAGCTTAGATCTAGGTGAAATACCGGAGGCCTTAAAGAATGCAGACATAAGAACATAAGAAAGGAGGAACACTGCAGCAGGCCTGTTGGCCCATACTAGGCAGGTCCTTTACAATTCATCCCACTAACAAACATTTGCCCAACCCAATTTTCAATGCAACCCAAGAAACAAGCTCCGATGTGCAAGTCCCACTCAAATCCAACCCCTCCCACTCATGTACTTATCCAACCTAAATTTGAAACGACTCAATAACCCAACTAGGTAGACTGTTCCACTCATCAACTACCCTATTTCCAAACCAATACTTTCCTATGTCCTTTCTAAATCTAAACTTACCTAATTTAAATCCATTACTGCGGGTTCTCTCTTGGAGAGATATCCTCAAGACCTTGTTAATATCCCCTTTATTAATACCTATCTTCCACTTATACACTTTGATCAGGTCTCCCCTCATTCTTCGTCTAACAAGTGAATGTAACTTAAGAGTCTTCAATCATTCTTCATAAGGAAGATTTCTAATGCTATGTATTAATTTAGTCATCCTACGCTGAATGTTTTCTAACGAATTTATGTCCATTCTGTAATATGGAGACCAGAATTGAGCTGCATAATCTAGGTGGAGGCCTTACTAATGATGTATAAAGCTGCAGTATGACCTCTGGACTTCTGTTGCTTACACTTCTTGATATAAATCCCAGTAATCTATTTGCCTTATTACGTACGCTTAGGCATTGCTGTCTTGGTTTAAGGTTGCTGCTTACCATAACCCCCAAGTCCTTTTCGCAATCTGTATGGCTAAGTTCTACATTATTTAACTTATAAGTGCTAGGGTTATGGACACTCCCGAGCTTCAGAAACCTTGCATTTATCTACATTGAACTGCATCTGCCACTTTTCTGACCAAGAGTGAGTTTGTCTAAATCCTCCTGAAGTTCCCTAACATCTACGTTTGAATCAATTATCTTACCTATCTTCGTGTCATCGGCGAATTTGCTCATATCACTAGTAATTCCTTCATCAAGATCATTGATATATATTATAAACAACAACGGGCCCAAGACTGATCCCTGTGGAACGCCACTTGTTACTGATCCCCACTCGGATTTAACCCATTTATGGACACACTCTGCTTCCTGTCTGTGAGCCATGATTCGATCCACGAGAGCACCCTTCCCCCAATGCCATGAGCTGCTACTTTCTTCAACAGTCTTTGGTGCGGAAAATCTATCAAATGCCTTACTAAAATCTAAGTAAATAATATCAAATTCTTTATCGTGGTCAACAGCCTCAAAAGCTTTACTGAAGAAAGTTAAAAAATTAGTTAGACAAGACCCGGCCTCTTGTGAATCCATGCTGAGTATCATTAATCAAGCTATGCTTATCGAGATGGCTTCTTTAATTTGAGCTATAATTGGGCTCTAGTAATTTTCCTACAATTGAGGTCAGGCTTATTGGGCGGTAATTTGACGGTAACGACTTGTCCCGTTTTAAAAATAGGAATTACATTAGCCATCTTCCACATATCAGACACTACACCTGTTTGAAGAGATAAATTAAAAATATTAGTTAATGGTTCACAGACTTCCATTTTGCATTCCTTCAGAACCCTTGAAAAAACCTCATCAGGACCCGGTGACTTATTTTGCTTCAGTTGGTCTATCTGCTTCACAACCATTTCACTAGTGACTGTGATGTTACATAATTTATCTTCTTCTGGCCCACTATAAAAATTAATTACTGGAATATTATTAGTGTCTTCCTGTGTAAAAACCGAGAGAAAATAATTATTTAAAATCGAGCACATTTCATTCTCTGTCAGTAAGATGCCTATAGTTATTTTTAGGGGACCTATCTTATCTCTGACTTTTGTTCTATATCCCTGGAAAAAACTTTTTGGGTTAGTTTTAGAATCCCTAGCAACTTTAATTTCATAGTCCCTTTTAGCTTTTCTTATCCCCTTTTTAATGTCCCTCTTAATGTCAATATACTGATTCATAAGATGACCCTCGCCTCTTTTGATACGCCTATAAATTCCTTTCTTATGCCCTAGTAGATATTTCAGCCTATTATTCATCCATTTTGGGTCATTTCTATTTGATCTAATTTCTTTATAAGGGATAAACGTTCTTTGAGCAGCATGCATTGTGTTCAGAAAACTGTCATATTGATAGCTCTCTTCGTTACCCCAGTCAACAGATGATAAGTGTTCTCTAAGCCCATCGTAATCTGCTAAGCGAAAATCTGGGACTTTTAATGAGTTATCCCTACTATCATACTTCCAT